CTCGAAACTGCTTCGCGGTGATGCTCGTGCTGTCCTCGAGGTCTTTATCCTCCAACAGCTGTGCCCAAGCGCATGTCTCCACGTCTTTCCTATGTCTCTGCGACCGCGGAAGTCTCTCGCGGGGCAGGTCGTTGGCCGGATCCTCCTCCAGGAGGTCCTCCTGCGACAAGTCGTTGCGTTGGACCTCATCTACCGCAACCAACGCCACGGCCAACGCCGTTGCTGGCAGCAGGGCATCCATACCGGCGGCGGCCATCGGAAGAGAGCCCGGGCTGCTGTTGAAGGTTAGAGTCAAGCAATCGCCGCTGCTGCTGCCAGCGAGCAGCGCCAGAGACGGCAGCCACTTCCACATGGGAGATGCTGGTGGGTGTGTGGGTGTGTCCACGGTGTCGCGAGATTCAAAAAAAGGACAACATAAAAAGGACAGGGCTACCCTGTCACAAAGTTGCCCAAAAAGGGACAGGATGGGGTGATCTTTTTTCGCTGTCCCTTTTCGGGAGGTTCAAAAACGCAAAAAAAGACCACGTAACAAGTGGTTTTTGGTCAGTTGTCCCTTTTTGAGAAAAGGGACAGCTCAAAAAGAGACAGCGTAACAAGTGGCCTTAGTGTTACATGTATATAAGGGCACATGTCCACCTGGTGGTTCTAGTTTGTTTTCGTGTGCAATGGCATAGATGTCGTTCGCGCCGGCGCCCACAGGTCCAACACCCCGGTTCGAGTCCAGCAAGCATTCTCTCTAGTCTTTTTTTCCTGATCATATTTGTGTTTTATGTTAATTTTTCCATACGTTTATCTTGAAAAATGTATGCAATTTTCTTCGACCTCATCAAAAAAAATTTGGTCACCGCGTCTTGTCGGTGCCATCACGGGCAATACGCACGTGAAAATAGTGTCGAAAACCATGACTTTAGTCAAAAGTTATGGCCGGTCAACCAAAATCGGTCTCACACTTTCCGGCACTGTACAGTATCAAAGCCGGGAGCCAGCGGGCAGCACCCAAACAGTTTTCCTCTTTGCGTCGCCTTGTGCTCCAAATGCCCTGTTGCCCCCCTGTATTGAAGACAACTTTCCCGTCCACTTACGTACTGCTGTCGTCTCTTTGTTCAGGTGCACGAGACCTCGCGCCAATGCACGCTGCGCACGACGGCATCTTCCTGCCCCTGCTTCCGCCGAAGGCACCCGTTCCCTTCGTGGCCATGCAGCCTGAAGCGACTCCACAGCTCTTTTAGACGGAGTTCGAAACATCGGCTGTCCCTCTCTCGTATGACAGATGCTGACTACACCAATAGCAGGAAGCACTGGAACTCGCGAAGTTGGTCTGGCTGTTCCATCGGAAAAGAGCTTTGTGGGCTTAAGGTTTTCATGTACCAGGCAGATAATCTCCCCTGAACGAGCTTGTTTTTGTACTGGTGCACGAGTCGACGCCTGTTCAATCAGTCAAGCTTTCGGCGTCAGGATTCACGTGAGAGCAGACCGTTTATGTGCTTTGTAATCAAGACACTCGGCAGGCACTATACTGCTCTGGCATCGGCCCCCTGTGTCGTACTTGGCTTGCATGAGTTTTGCGTGGGGACATTGAGTCCGCGGACAACACCGAATCTCGGACTGAGGATGTGTCTTATCGACAGAATCAAGATCAGAAATCGAAATAAAAAATCAGTTTAAGTCCTGGAAGAGCCAACGAACATCTGCTGTGATTGGATGGAATAACTTTCCACCTGTCCGTCGGAAGCATTTGGATGGAGACCGCACGGAATCTTCCTATGCTTAAACTCGAACTCAAATAAATGCAAAAACATTAAAATCGATGTCGACTTTTGCGAACAGCGCACGTGGCGGGCTATTGGGTGTGTAGGGGCCGGGTTTTTGTGCCGATTTGACACATCGAGGACCACGCCTTGGCATCTTGGCATGTGGAGGACACCCACCACTCACGCGCGAGCGGCAGTAAGCAGAGGAGACGATGTCACAGCCTGGGGCAAACGGTGACGGGCGGTACTACAACGCGTAGGTGTACCAGCTCCTCCGCTCGCGGCGCACGAAATTATCCCGGGTCTGAGGGGGATCGCCTTCGTCCATGAGCACCATTATCATCAGCAGCTCCAGGAGCTGTCTCATGCGCTTCTTTGTCTTTCCTCGCAGCCATGAGCGGCGGCTGGCAGGAGCGCGAGCCATTCTTTTGGGATGAGGCGCGACGCTGCGGACGTCGTGTCACGGAACTGGCGGGCTGTTCGCCGCTTGAAGTGGGCGCTTCACCGTGTTTCTCAATTTCGATTTTGATTTTGGTGGTTTCTCGATATGACACTGCGGGCGAATTTGGGCGACTCTTCAGGACTTCAACTGATTTTTGATTTCGATTTCTGATCTTGATTCTGTCGATAAGACACATCCTGAGGGGTGCGTTTTTCGATATAGAGGTTTTTTCCGCAGGTTGACTTGTCTGGATTTCGACGGCGTTCGCGCCATCCTCTCTGGACTGTCGGCGACTCGGGTGTTCCATAAAAGTTTTGGGGCACGGTCTGTGTGTGGCTTGGCTCGCAAGGCACAGTAAAAGCAACCGCCGTCCGGACAGAGATACCACTTGATAATGCTCTCTAGCTTTTTCCTCTTGAGGGTTTCGGGCGGCGCACGTCGCCACCAGTAATTCGTTAGATTCACAACCGGTCCCTTTGCGAGATGACGCGCGTTGGATAGACAGGTGCGGTACTTTTCTCGGCCCACTCGTGGATGAATTAGAGAGCAAGAGTCTCCGAGTCTGTGTCTTTGACCCTTCGGTACGGGTGGCAGAGGCTTTTCATGGGCAGTCAGTCGCCTTGTAACGGCCTCTGTTGGAACTTGGCCTCGGGCTGTGTGATGCGAAGTAAAGGGCTTGTTGTCAAGAACAGTAGAACTGATGACTGATGAGCACCTCGAAGGTGTCCTTTAGGTGTTGGTAGGTGTGGTACTTCGGCGATGACAAAAAGGGTACATTTTGGAGCGTTATATTGCTGGGAAAAGAAAATCACAGAATCCTTTCCATCACGAGGTACGCTCGACGTGGTCCTCGAACTGGCATGTAAACACTAAAAATGCGCACGACTGTTTTCCCAAATAGGTGGTCCTGCTTGTGAACTGCAGCAGGTGTCGATTGTTGCGTTTCAATGCTAGTCTGTCCCTCCAATTCTCGAACATCCTTGCTTGCAAGAGTTGTCACATCTACAGAAGGGCATTGGTACACACACAACACAACCACCACTCAACCAACATATGGTGAAGAAACTAGACAAGAACTCGGGCTTCACAGACAGGCAACACGTTACACAACGCTACGTCGTATTTCACAATATTTCCGTTTCAAGAGCTCATTCGCTCACTCTGCAGGGTAAATGAAAATAAATAAAATTAACCGCCAATTCTGGAAAAAAAGGGAGTAAAGAGGGCGTGATGACTTCCTTCACCCCCGTCCCGTGGTGCTAGCCGCTGTCTATCGTGCCGGCCAAGGGCGGTATATCCCATCTCACGGAGAAACTGCTGCACCGTGTCCGTGGCTATACGATGACAACAATCTAGCTCCAATAATCTTGACAGCTGTTTGTGCCATCCAGCGATGATTATGATGTGGCGTTGGCGATGGCCTCTTGAGGAGTCACCGTCGTGTCCTGCACTGCCAGGGTTCGCGTGAAGGTCTGAAGGGTCTCCGGGACCAGTTCGATCGTCGTTCTGCATTCCGTGGAAAGCGTTGAGGGTGGAAGAAGGAATATCAACACAAGGACAAGTTGCGACTTGACGGGGACAAGGGCATCGCTACATGAGTAATTGTGTCCGTACTCAGTTTGTTTCTAACGACAGAGTGCCAATACTACAGCCTGAATCCACCGACGTGTGACTTCATCCCTCCACCCAACAAGGTTCAACCTAGCGGGGGGTGTTCCTACAGTAGATCAAACACAGTAGATCATGGCACGCAAACAGTATAATTTACAACGAAGCAACAAGGATGGCCAAAAGAGCGGGAGGGCGTGTGTATCAAGCCTCACCACAAAGAAGGTGGTCCGCTCCCGTCCCATAAACGATAGGGGGAAACAAGAGGCGCTCTATCTCTCCATCGAATTTGGCACGACCATTTTCGCGTGCATGTTTTCGCCGAGACAGTTCCACATCAAATCAACCACGTCTCTCCCAGGACGCCTCGCATTGCGAGGATCTACAGTGCATTGAAAATGACTTTTTTTTCATCCGCGGCACTCACGTTTCGTCCTCTGAGATGCGCTCTGGTCTCGGGTGGTTCTTGCCGTACACCAGCACGTTCAGCTGCGCGCACGTAAGGATGTATTATATCGTAGGAGTACACAGAACCAAGTCACACACTGTGCCGTACCAAGGGGTGCATCTAAAAGCACAACGAGCGTGCCGAGCTACAGCAGGAAGAGCCAACGTCCACACGACGCGTAACGATCCATCTACAGCGCGCGAGTAGGGAACGCATGACTCGTGCGTGGTCGCTACGGTTTACAGCAACCGTCGCTCACGACGGGCATGGGGCTCACCGTTGTTGTTGTGGCGAACGTACAACAAGCAGACATACGCCACCAAGGGCTTTTTTTATGCAGCCATTCTTACAAGTCGTAAAGTTTTTTTCGGCTCAAGTTGTTCTTTCGTCCTCTCGGAAAGGAAACAAACTTTCTTCGTAGGCAGTTGGAAATGGTTGACCACAGCGTCAGACTGGTACATGACTTGCTTTCAACAAAGCTAGTCGAGGGCACCGCACAAACACAACACCACGAGAGCGCGAGTGGCAAATCTGGCTCGCAAAAGCGGTAATCCCCACACCGTCTAAGGGCGGCCACGGCAAGCATCATTAACGGCTGCTTCTGAAACTGGCTGAAAATTCAACGTCGTTCGCGTGGTTACAGGCAGGGAACCAAAACTGCACATCAACCAAAAAGCAAGCGAGGCTTGAACACAGACAAGAACGTATGTAGCACACCACCAATGTCACGGGACAGCTCTAGCCGGCGTTGAAACGTCAAACACAGGGAGTTGTCGTTGCCGATGTCAATGTCGCACTAGGCCTGGGACTAAAGTGCGGTGTAGCGTCGCTTGCGCAAGAGGGTTTGCTCCGCTTTCACCCGAACGGTTGAGTGGCGAGTATTGATATTTTTGTTGTTGTCATCTTCTCTGTATTAGTTAGCCTCTACGTCCACCACCTAACCAAACCCACAGACGACACACCGTGTGTTGTGTTGTAAGCATACGTGGGTTTGATTCGGTGGTGAAGTTAGAGGTGAATCGACACAAAGGGGGAGACAAACAACCCATCAAAACTCGGCCCGTGGCATCAACCGCTCGAGTGCAGACGGGGCACACCCGATTCCCAAGTGACGCTGAAACACGGCAGTACACGACTGCTTGAGGATTTGAGTCCGCCACACCCATACCCGGCTGGCTGCCACAGCAGCAGTGAGATCATCATCCTCTCGCACCAAGCGATGCTTCCACGCACAGAAAAATGAACAGCATTAGTATCTACCTCCCATCTACCTTCCCGGCAGCAGTACATCGAGAGGACGTCACCACCCCCGCACCATCACCAACACGAAGAAAACAACAGAGACACACTCACGCGCTTGGCGCCATCGCCGTCCAGCATCTCGCCACCTAGAAGGTCCAACACCTCCTGTCGGGTGATGGTCTTGAGTAGCTCTGCCTTCACCGCTGCCCGGTCCCACTTGAGGTCGCCCGAGAAAACCTTTTCGCAACGTCAACGTGATGACGCGGCACACGGGAGAGAAGGGGGGCGAGGGGGGGGGGGGGATGGAATCCCCTATCCTCTTCAGGGGGGGGTGGCATCCTCCATCATCTTCGCAGTTTGCCACTCCTGTCTGTTCGCAAACAAAGCCCACCTGCAACCCGGGTCATGTACTTATGTAATTTCATCCGCCCTTTGGCGGTCTGAGATAAGGATACTGTTCACATGGCTCTCTACTCTCACCACGAGCAATACCGGGTCAGGACCGCCTACATTTTCTTTTCGCGCTACATGTAGCCCCGATTTTAATCCTTTTTCATTTGGGGGCTTCATGGTCACACACGTACTTGTTTGCGCCGAGGAATATTCCGTTGATTTTCTACTCTTCTTGAAAGTATTCGTTTGTACAGCCTCTTTTTTCGTTTGTACAGCAATCCGCAAATAAAAACATGCCTTCGAAATTGCAGTACGACACGGTAGATCGATCGCGTCCCGAAAAACGATGACCCATGACTACAATAGTCTATTCCCGATGATGATGCCGACGCACCATACCTCGCCGAGAATCAAGCCGAACTCTGCGTCGGCCTTGGTTGGGGGCTCTAGCTGCTTCGACACCTGGCTGCCCACGTGCATGTCAAATTCCTGCGCACAGACGACAAACTTAAAAGAACGTGGTGCATGATATCATACACAGCTTGCGCCAATATCCCTACAAGAAATCAACCGCGAATACGGTGGCACCCTAACAAAACTGCACAGCAAGAAACAAAGGCAGCCAACCAGCAAGTCCGGGACTTGATCGTGAGGTACACACAGCGCACAGCGCTCTAGCGTTTTCAAAAGCGCAACATCAGTCATCCCATATGTCGCTGGCGTCTCATACACTTGTGAAACAATTTTCCGCCGCTGCAGTTTACAACATTGCCATATTTTTTACGCTTGCGCACGCCCCACGTCTCTCCAATCTAAACAGCATGTCGAATCTTTGCACTCTCCCGCCTCGCCCAGACAAATCGAAAACGGGCTTCGGAAGACAATTCAATGTCATTCCCCCCCCCCCCCCCCCCCCCCCCCCCCCCCCCCCCCCCCCCCCC